GACCCTTAATCATAGCAATTAACAGTGGCATAGGGAGTGAAAGTAGTTTAGTATTTTCCTCTTGGCTCAGCTTGTACCTCCTACTTTAAGTGAACTTCTTGCAATGTAATCATCAGAAACATAGATGACTGACATGGCATCAGTGCTCAAAAATCTTTGGAATCCATATAATTTCGTGGCCTGCTTTGCCACACATCTTCTTCCATTGTAAACCAATTTTTTTAGGCATGTGATGCTACCTCTTCTTCAGTACTGGCAGAATTAATTCCATATAATGCAAAAATCACAAACAAGAAGCTAGATGGTGATGGTGTGAATTGCCCTCGACGGAACAAGGCAATTGAAATGTACTAGAAAGGTCATGGAAGGAAAAGGCCAATTGAGAAGAATTGAATAGATATCGTGTGAGGATCAAAACAGAAATGTGTGTATTTTGTATTAATATCCCTAATATTAGTGGGATATCAGTAATAGACATTGTAACTACAGAAGAACAGAAAGGAAAATGATAGTTCGAACTTTCAAAGCTTTCAAGAGGCTTTGATATCCCAGAAACCGCCCAATACAATCAGCATGCCCCATACACTCCTTTCTCTCCCCCTCCCCCCCCCCCCCCCCCCCCCCGCCACACAAAAAAAACCCAAAAAAAGAAAAAGTTGTTGTAACAGCTTTTCCCATCAAATGTGAATCACACTACTTTGCTTGCTTAGTGCCTAATTCTCTACTGCCCCTCCTAGCGTACACCATAGTGATGATGGGTACCTTCCTATCATATGGCTACTACAAAAGATATGATTGAGAAAATCATAATAAATAAAAAAGATACTGAGTAGCATAAGAGTTTACATGTCTTCTAGACTAGTGTCAATGGATCCTTTTGTATATTACTTGAAAAAGGGTAATGAAATATATTATTGAATTGTAAATAATCTGTACAAAGGGTTCTCTATTTATAGAGAATACATGACCTAGAATTCTTGACCTAATGGGCTAAGCCCAATACAACAAATAAATAAATAACTATTATTTACAACACTCCCCCTCAAGCTGAGGAATAGATATTTATCATTCTCAACTTGCTAGTAAGCTCTTGAAATCTGTCTGAAAGAAGTCCCTTTGTCAATACATTAGCTAATTGACATCCAATGGGAATGTATGGAGTGGTAATCAACCCGCTATCAAGTTTCTCTTTGATGAAATGGCGGTCGACCTCAATATGTTTAGTCCGATCATGTTGAACTGGATTATGAGCTATACAAATAGCGGACTTATTATCACATAGCAGCTTCATAGGTCCCTCACATTTTATTTTGAGATCATCAAGTACAATTTTTAGCCACAGTAACTCACAAATGCCTTGAGCCATAGCTCGAAATTCAGCCTCTGCATTTGATCTGGCAACCACATCTTGTTTCTTACTTCTCCACGTCACCAAGTTACCACAAAGAAACATACAATATCCAGTGGTAGAACGACGGTCAGTCACAGATACAGCATAATCAGCATCAGTGTAGACTTCTAAAGAGAGATTGTCATCACGCCAGAATAATAGTCCTTTACCAAGAGTAGCTTTAAGATACTGAAGAATTCTCTCTACTGCCTGCATGTGTTTCTCCTTTGGATCGTGCATAAACTGACTGACAACACTAACAGCATAAGCTAGGTCTGGTCTAGTATGAGCCAAATATATCAATTTCCCAACTAGCCGTTGATATTGTCCTTTATCAACTGGAGGACTCTCCTCTTCATAGCCTATCTTGTGATTCTGCTCAATAGGAGTATTAGAGGGTTTACACCCAAGCTTTCCTGCTTCTTTAAGAAGATCAAGAACATATTTTCTCTGGCTGATGAAAATTCCTTTGTTTGAATGAGCTACCTCTATCCCTAGGAAATATCTCAGTTTCCCAAGATCTTTAACTTCAAATTCAGAGGCTAGCCGTGTTTGCAGAATATGTCTCTCCACAAAATCATCACCTGTTATAATAATATCATCAACATATACAAGGAGCACAATGAGATTCCCATCTTGGGAGTGCTTAAAGAAAAGAGTGTGATCTCTTTGACTCTGTTTGTATCCTAAGGTCATCATAACCTTAGTAAACCTCCCAAACCAGGCACGAGGTGACTGCTACAATCCATACAAGGCTTTTCTTAATCTACAAACTTTATTTTCTCCGTCCACAGAATCAAATCCAGGCGGGATTTCCATGTAGACTTCTTCTAACTCACCATTAAGGAAAGCATTCTTCACATCAAATTGATTTATATCCCAATTGTAATGGACAGCAAGGGATAACAAGACTTTCACCGTATTCATCTTTGCAACTGGAGCAAAGGTTTCTTCATAATCAATGTCATAGGTCTGAGTGTAACCCTTGGCGACTAACCTAGCCTTATATCTCTCAAGAGTGCCATCAGAATTATACTTTAGGGCATAAACCCATCTGCACCCTACTGTTTTCTTTCCATTGGGTCTATCAATAACCTCTCATGTTTTATTTTTCTCCAACGCATTCATCTCCTCTTGCATGGCTTGAGCCCAATTCTCATCTTTTAATGCTTCATGTACTGATTTTAGGATTGAAAAAGAATCTAGTGTTGAAACAAAGCTTTTGTGCTGCACAGAAAGATTAGTAGAAGAAACAAAATGGGAGATAGGGTATTGAGTACAAGATATTTTCCCTTTTCTTAGGGCAATAGATAAGTCATCAGAAGCAGAAGCAATGGGTAAGTCATCAGAGGTATTAGAAGAAATAGGCAAATTATGAGAGGCAATAATATTAGAATTAGAAACAGGAGATTCAGGACTTACCAGTGGTTCAGACAATTGAGGTTGCTGGAGAGACAGTATGGATTGTTTCCTCCTCTGATATACCAATTCAGGTGTCAAAATCTTTCGTATCTCAGGTGTATTTGAAGGTTCTGACACACCAGGAGCAAACACACTAGGAAGAGGTGTAAGAGTAGACAAGGACGATCCAGACTCAAAGAAGGAAGGGGATGAGTCTTCTGAAGAACTATTCTCCCCCTGAAGATGAAGACCCAGGAGATAAGACTCAGATTCTTGAAAGGTGACATCCATAGAAACAAAAAAAAATCGACTTGGTGGATGATAACACTTGTACCCTTTTTTATCAGGGGCATAACCAAGGAAGACACACTTAAGAGCCCTAGGATCCAACTTACTGCGATGTTGTTTATGAACATGGACAAAGGCAACACATCCAAACACTCTTGGTGGAAGGCTTTGCAAAATGGGAACAAAAGGAAAGAAGGAAGTCATGGAATGAATAGGACAGGTATTGTTAAGGACCCGTGAAGATAAGTGGTTGATCAAAAAAGCTGCAGCTAACACGGCTTCTCCCCAATAAGAACTAGGAACAGATATCTAGAAAAGTAGTGCTCTAGCAACTTCAAGGAGGTGACGATTTTTTCTTTCAGCAACCCCGTTTTGTTGAGGGTATCAACACATGTGAGCTCATGAATCATACTTCTGTCTGAAATGAATTGCGACAGACGTTGGTTGACGTACTCAATACCATTATCAAATCTTAGTCTTTTACTACACTTACCAAACTAAGTCTCAACCATGTGATGAAATCGAATAAATATCTCTGGTACTTCAGACTTGTCTTTCATCAATAATACCCATGTTACCCGAGTACAATCGTCAATAAAAGAAACAAACCACCTTGCACCTAAAACACTATGCACTTTAGAAAGGCCCCAAACATCAGAATGGATAAGAGAAAAAAGTTCGCTATTTTTTATAGTGCTAGAAGGAAATGACACTCGATGGTGTTTTCAAATTCACAAACATCGCAATGAAAGGTCTCAACTGACTGATTAAGAAACAGAGCAGGAAACATTGACTTCAATAGACTGAATGGTGGATGCCCCAGACGCTTGTGATGGAGCCAAATCATAGACTCTCGGTAGAAGGATGACGTGTCATTAATAACTGATTTTTGCTATCATTTATAGCATGTTCTGGAAGGAGATAATACAACCCATCTTGCTCATTATCAACTCCAATTGTCTTCTTCGTGGTAAGATCCTGAATAACACAATGAGAAGGAAAAAATGTGATAGAACAATTCAAATCAGTTGTAAGTTTTTGAGTGGAGATAAGATTAGTAGAAAGCTGAGGAACATAATGAACATTTTTAAGAAACAAGGAAGGTTGAATTTGAATGTTACCAGAACCAATAACTGATTTATGGGATTTATCAAATACGGATATAGTATGACTACCAACAAAAACTCAGTACGATAAGTCATATGATCAGTTGCACCAAAATCCAAAATCCATGAGGTTTTAAAATCAGTGCAAGAAGCAAGAAGAGATGTAGAACGTGTGTTCTTACCAGACAAGATCAAAGAATGCGGGTTTAAGCTGATCCAACTCCCTTTGCTGAATATTCACATATGGAGAGACATGTGGAGACTCTGTAATAATCGAAACAACTTCTAAATTGGCCATAGTGATAAGAGAGAGTGAAAAATAGCACCAAAAACACACAACGTACACCCAAACGACGTCAGATCAGAGACAAAACCAAGCAGGAAAGGTTTTTCTTTTTTTTTTGGTGACCAGTACCCGATGAACAGTTCCGCGTTTTTTTTTTTTTTTGGAGCTGTTCCAGTAGTCTGATGAAAAAGAAACCTCCGTAGAATGATAGATCTAAGAAAACGGAGTGAAACAAAGGTCCTCACGGTCCAAAAGGTCCCCGGAAAAAATTTTCCAGTGGCGGCGAGAGGCAAATAGGGTTTGATTTTTAAAGACGGTGATTTGCGGAAGAAGAGCCCTCAGAATCGAGAGCTTTGATACCAACTTGAAAAAGAGTAATGAAATATATTATTGAATTGTAAATAATCTGTACAAAAAGTTCTCTATTTATAGAGAATACATGACCTAGAATTCTTGACCTAATGGGCTAAGCCCAATACAACAAATAAAATAAATAAATAACTATTATTTACAACAATATTTAACTTACAACTGCATTGTGCCAAATGCCAGCAGAATACACGCGGAGGGCAGTCAAATGTGGTAAAGCTTGCAGCAATTCATAATTGAAGGCAACCAGAGCACCAGGAAATAGAACTGCAATGAAGATGGCAATGTACTCTACTTGTATTCCCTCACTGCTTTCCATTGAAAACGTGTAAAGCATAAAGCATGAGAATGAATATAGCTTTTGACATTCAAGAAAAACTAGATTTGGGATTCTTGGTATCTGCATAATCACAGAGTAAATAAAAAAATAATAAAATTTTACAGCTGAAATGATCACTAAAAATACATCCTTGCATTGCTTTTAAACAACAGATGACGCAATCGCAACCACTATTGAAATATGCTGCAGAACAATATCGGGAACCTAGAATCTATTCATAAAGCCTTAAAATCTAAAATATATGATAAATAAGTAGTTCTTTGACCTTATCCTTCATGGAAAGCAGAAAGGAGATCTACTTGTATGAAAACATGAGGGGTATGCTGCTTTTCTCCATTTGGTTTATGTCAGATTTGGGAATGAGTCTTGTTTATGGGCTGGGGATTATCCATTTCTATTTCCATTTACCACCTTTATTCTCTGTCATCACTGCATTAGCAACTTCTATTATCTCAAGAGGCTGTCCATTTTTTGAAAATTCCAGTTTTTCAGACATTTATACAGAGATGCTCCAAAACAGGACTTCTTTCCAGGTTTACTTGACTATGTTCAGTAATAGAATTTGGGCTTTAGAATGAAGAATTAATACAACTATTGAAGGCTCACAGATCGCAGTGTGTTACGATCCTACTTCAAGGTATGGGACTTTGAGTCTCACATTACAAACATAAGGTTCTAGTGTGGGGTTTATATGGACTTTGGAGTCTCCTAACTCATGAGCTAGCTTTTGGGGTGAGGTTCTCCCAAAGTTCGAATTAATTGGTATCAGAGCCTTCCACTATGCCTTCCCGTTGCAATCGAGTGGCGCAGGTGGTGAAGCTATCATTGCAGTGCTCACCCAGCTCGCGTGGACGCCAGGGCTACGGAGCGTGGTAGAATGTTACGATCCTACTCCAAGGTATGGGACTTGGAGTCCCACATTAGAAACATAAGGTTCTGGTGTGGGATTTATATGGACTTTGAACTCTCCTACCTCATGAGCTAGCTTTTGGGGTGATGTTTTCTCAAGGTTTGAATCAATTGGTATCATAGTCTTCCACTATGCTTCCCGGTTGCAATCAAGCGGCGCAGGTGGTAACGCTAGCATTGCAATGTTCGCCCAGAGTTAGTAAAAGACTAGCACAAAGGCAGCCCGCGTGGGCACCGAGGCTGCGGAGCGTGGTGGAATGTTACGATCCTACTACAAGATATAGGACTTGGAGTCCCACATTGGAAACATAAGGTTAGAGGTGTAAATAAGTTGAGTCGAGCCCAGCTTTAGCTTAAACGAGCCGAGCCTATGAAAAACATTTTGAGCTTGGCTTGGCTCATTAGCTTGGTACGAGCTAAATTCTAGGCTTGACTTGACTTGTTTTTAAAAAATTAAAGGCTTGCCTTGAGCTTGGCTTGCCCTCATTTATAATTATAAAATGTATTTTTTCCAAGCTCACATACGTCCAAATGTTGAGACTATAAATGCATCAAATTTTGTACTCCTTCATCAGAGAAAAAACAATCATAAAACCCACTCAGTCCACATATATTTTAAAATCGAATAATGAGTTCCGCAAATTCTTCTTAAACATTGATCCAGCTTATGAAATAGAGAATGTGGGTGAAGAATATTTTAAGAAAAGTATGTAAAAAAAAAAGAGATATAGTGGAATAGCAGGGTCATCTGGGGTCTCTGGGGAGAAAAACCCTCCTCCGCCATCAAAGGAGGAAGCTGATCTTTTACTGCGCAGTTCTGAGAAACCTAAAGAAATTATTCTAAATGGGAAGGATGGAGTGAAGGTATATGGAGAACCAGAGCAGCGGAAAGTAGTGTCTTACAAAGACTTTCTTTTCCATTTTAATGGAGTTTGGGGGCATAAGGCATTGGTAGAAGAGAGTTGGGAAGCAAGTCAACTACGGGATGAGGATCCTATGGATTGTATGGAGGTGATTGAGGAGGGGAAAGGTGACGAAGACCCGTTCTGTCCAACTTATAATTTTTGTATTAAAGATTATAAGGAGGATTGTCAAAAATGGAGGAGTTCTTTGATCATCAAACTCTTGGGAAAGAGAGTTGGAGCGAAGTTTCTTATATTTAGGTTGCAGAAGATATGGAATTTGGTAGGAATGGCCGAGTTCATTGCTCTGGAGAATGATCATTTCTTAGTTCGTTTTACGGATAAGAAAGATTATGATTTTGTTCTTCATGAAGGACCATGGGTGATAGTTGATCATTATGTTACTGTTCAGAGATGGAGGCCTTTATTTGATCCATACGACGAGTTGGTGAAGAAACTAGCCATTTGGATTCGTATTCCTGGATTACTAATTGAATTTTATACATCCCAACACTTATGGAAGATACGAAGCTTGTTTGGGAAGCCATTAAAAATTGATAGGAATTCGATTAGAGGTAATGGAACAGGAGGGGTGGAGATTACTGATCAAGCAAGGTTTGCTCGAATTTGTGTTGAAGTGGATCTTACAATGAGTTTTTATCCAAATTCAAAATCGGTAATCGGATTTTTCATGTTGGGTACGAGGGCCTTCATCTTATCTGTTTCATGTGTGGAAAATATGGGCATAGAAAGGATAGTTGTCCTCTGATCTCTCCTGGTGATAAGGTTGCTGAGAAAGTAGTTCAATACGAGCCTGGTAAATCTCTTCCGAAGAAGACTGCACCGGAAGTTGGAAGATCAGTCGCGACGGAGGAACCGTTTAGAGGGTGGATGCCGGTGCAACGGCCACCTCGTGGTAGACGACCGAAAGCGGTTACTGAAATTTCAAATGGAGTTAATGCAGGAGTTAAACCTGGCAATGAAACAGCTAGAAAGGTTTTGAATAAAAATGTAACTGGTTCTAGATTTGCGGTGTTTGCGCAGGATTTGAAGGATGGCAGTAACGTTAAGGAGAATGCAATTACGGTCAGTGGAAATACTAGTAAAGCTGATGTTGTAACGGACAGATCAGATGGGAGCCAACCGAAGGGTAGGAGAACAAAGTCGGGTCCATGTAATTCAAATGTAGTGATTGCAGGAAGTAATTTAATCAAAGAAACGGCAGGTCCAGTTATGACAGTTAATGTTGCTGGTGTCAATCCGGAAGATCCAGTTATACAGAATATTCAAAGAGTAAACATTGATGAGGAGGCTCCAATTATGCTTATGGATGATACACAAAATGTGGAGAATAAAAACTCTGGGATGGAGTTGGATAATAGGAATTCCATAAGGATCGGCAGTGTGATAGTTGGCAAAACACCAGATGAGATGATAAATGAAATTGTTCAAAATTCTACCTTATTAAAGGAGGGGTCCCAAGAGGTTGGTATGGATTCGTATCAGGAGATGGGGATTCGAGTTGGGTTCAAAAATAAGGCTTCACCCAATGAGAAAAAGTATCTTGGTGGAGATAAGCTTTCTTCTAAGGATTTGAGATTAAAAAAAACTACTCAGAAGAAAAATACTGGTGGGTCTAGACTGCAGAAATCTACTCAAAGCAGTTTGGCTAAATATAAGAATTTGGTTGAGCAGAATAATCTGAGCAATAAAGGGAAACCTCCGGATCCACTTCCAACAGGTAAAGAAGGAGAGGATGATGTTAACAAGGAGAAGCCTATTGATCCTTTAAAACTTATGAAATGGTATGACCAAACTCATAAAGGGGAAGGAGATTGGGCGAGCTTGGAAGCCCTAGGTGCTACTCGTGTTTATACGAGCTTGAACTAATGTGCTCTTTGTCCTATTTTGAAGATGTTTTTTATATTTGTTTTCTGTTGGAACTGTAGGGGTGTGGGCAAGAAAGGCTTCATTCCCTTAATAAAAGATCTTGTTCAAAGACACAAAATAGATATTCTTGTTCTTTTAGAGACTCGTTCTAGTGGTTTGAAAGCAAATCGTAAAATTAGAAGACTTGATTAGTGATTACTTTTTTACCGAAGTTGTGGGTTATTCATGTGGTATTTGGTTACTTTGGAATGTTGATAATGTCCAAGTCAACGTTTTAAATCATCATCAGTATGTTCACACCAGCTTACTCTGGAAGGAAAATGGTAAGCTAGAACTTGCAACGTTCGTTTATGCAAGTCCAAGGCTGTTGGAGAGAAGAGTTCTTTGGTCGGAATTACACATCATTAAGGAGCAAAGTAGTGGTCCTTGGATGGTGATGGGAGATTTCAATTCTTATCTTAGTAGGGATGAAAAAGAGGGTGGTAGTGCACCGAATTAGAGGAGTATGATTGACTTCAGTGAGTGTCTGGATTATTGTGGCTTGTATGACATTGGTGCAATGGGTCCTAGGTTTACTTGGCAGAGAGGAGCCTTGAAGGAAAGACTTTATAGGGTTGTGGCTAATGAAGATTGGAATATTGGTTTTCCGAATCGTAGATTAAGCTATCTTAATTTCTATGGTTCTGATCACCGTCCTTTGCTGTTATGGGATGGTCCGTTGCAGACAAATTTGAATAGACCACATCCCTTTCGTTTTCTGGCTGCATGGTTAACTAGTGATGACTTTACTAGAATTGTTAAGGACTGTTGGGAAGCAGGTAGGAGTTGGGTGGATATGAACTCCACTTTCAGACGTCGTGTGTCTGATTGGCATCGTCAGAGTTTCCAGGTTAATCAGAAAAGAAAGCATGAGCTGTATGCAAGGTTGCATGGAATTGACAACAGTTTAACACAATCTCCAAATAATTTTCTGGAGAGGTTACAGAAGACGCTTTGGGATGAGCTCAACACCATTTTGGCTAGGGAAGAACTTACGTGGTTTCAACGGTCTAGAGCTAGATGGTTGGCGTGGGGAGATAGTAACTCCAGATTTTTCCATAGCTGTACTATTGCTCGTAGAAGAAGAAATCGGATTGGTATGTTAAAAGATGAGGAGGGTAGTTGGATTGGTGACCATGAAGTTCTTTTTAACTTGGCAATGAATTATTTTGCGAAGTTATATATAGAAGAAGATGGAGTTAAGCCTCAATTTCCTGTTCGAGGTATG